CGGGGCAGGGGGCGGGCACCTCGGCTCCGGTCCGCTCTGCAGCTCCCCCGAGTCCAGGCCCAGCAGGGACCGGGTTCCTGTCCCCACACTCGTCGTCACGGTGACCAGCTTGTTCCCAACCAGCCAGGTTTTGGTCCTGCCGCCCGCCAGGAGGAACTCACCCACAGGAGACCTGAAAGCACAAAGCCCCAGTCTCCACCTGTCATGGGGCCCAGGGCGGGTGCAGAGACGAGGCCCGTGTGGCTGTGCACTACCCTACGGCTCCAGGCACGGCTCCATGGGGAACGTGGAGATGCAGCGCCCACCTTTTGGGGACCGCGGTGAAGTTGGAGAAGACGTAGCGGGCCATCATGTCCAGACAGGTCTCCGTGAGCTCCAGGTGCAGGCTCTTCAGGCTGTCATCAGCCTGGGCCACGGAGTTCTCGTCTGCAGACCCCAGGCTGGCGCTGGTCAGGGACGTTTGTATTCTGCTGGAGGGAGAGCCCACGCCGGGGTCAGGGCTCCGGGCAGGACCATGCCAAGCCACCTACCACCAGGGGCCAAAGCTCAACGCATGCATGACCGAGAGGGCCTCGCTCAGAAAAACCCCAGCAGGCCTGGGCCCGGCGGCCAGCTGAGCCGCGTCTGGCAAATCGAGTGGACTGCGTTATCCCGGAGAGGAGGGGGTGGCCCCTCTGTCGGGAGCAGAGATGGAAGAGACGAGACAGGACATCCCTCTGCCCAAGCACACAGGAGCGAGTTAGGCCACGGCTGCGGCAGACAGCTTAGTCCATGCAGAGACTCGAGGCCACTGGGACAGAGCAAGATTGCATTCTGTCCACGCGGCCGCCTGCCGTCCAGGACACGGAGCCGGGCTGTGCGCGCAGCCCACGGCACTGTAGCGACCAGGAAGGCTTTGTCCAGGCTTAGTCTGGTACCAGTGTTGCACTCTTTAGCCCTACTCTGCTTATGATAAAGAATGTGACAGAAAGAGAGCCGAGAAGCCTCACTAAGCAGCCGGCCGCTCCCAGCCCCTCGCCAGACCCCACACCGGAGAGCCACAGAGCCAGAGAGCCGGGGCAGGGATGGGGAGGAGCAGGGAGAAGGCAGAGTCTCGTCGCTAGAGCCTGCAGGCGCGCAGCTCAGGGACAGGCCAAGCACACGCCCAGACTCAGCTGGGAGAATCACGAAGGGAGGGGGGGAACTGTGCCCCTCCCCTGCCAGCCCCACCCCAAAGCCAGAGATTCACTGCGGCCATGGAGAAGCACACATCCCTTCTGAAAGGAAGCCCAAGGGACAAAGTCCTCATCACAGGAAGTGAGGATCAAGCCTGGGGAGCATGCCCGTCCAGCCACCCGAGGCTGCAGGGTACAGAGCCTGCCCCCCCCGCCCCCCAGCTTTCCCACAGTGGCAGGTCTGCGCAGGGCCCCAGGCCGGCCTCTGACTAGGTTGTGCTCCTAGGGGCTTAGGACAGAATGCAACCTTTCCCCCCTCGCCACCAGGCTCCCCTGGGTTGGGGTCTTCTCCAGCCCCGGCCAGGAAGGGCACCAATGTGAGGTCATGCAAGCAGCCCCATGCACCGCCGCCCGGTGCTCGTGGGCCAGGCTCCGGGCTGTGCCCCCCACCCCCACAGCCCCGCTACCTGCGGACCACATGTTCAGACACACTGATGCTGCGGCACCGGAAGGCCTCGGCTGCACAGCTCTCCTTGAATTCTTTCACAGGTGGAGAGTTATTCAGGCCTTGTTTGGGGGCTCTGGCTATCCTCAAACTACCAGGCGAGGAAGGAAGCCCCAAAGCCCCAGAGAGCCCAGCTCCCGGGAAGGGGAGGGGTGAGGAGGAAAGGTCCCAGGCCACAGGGTCAAGATGGAGAGGTCCCGCGGGTGAGATGAACAAAAGAACCATGCCAAAGGACAGTTAGCAGGGAAGAGAGACAGAAAACAAAAACGCATAAAAATACATCTTATAAATGCAACTGAGAAAAAAGTAAGGCTTTATGTGTGATACCAAAACAAAGGACATTAGTGCAAATTAAAACGTGTGTGGATCACCGGCACGGCAGATTCCAGGCTGGGCCGCCCAGCAGTCCCCACCCACCCATGAAGAGGCCTCTGGCCTCACCGGGCCTGGACGCAGAAGGCGCCACGGACCTCGAGCACGGCCCCGGGCCCAGTGTGTGAAAGGAAGCCAGCCCTCCGTGTGAGAGCAGAGCGATGGCCAGCGATGGCCAGAGATGGGCCAGCCCCGCCCCGCCCCGGCGGCATGAGCCGAGGCTGCCCTGGAAAGTGCCGTGTCCACCTGGGGAGAGCCGACAGCCTGGCAGCAAGGGGCGGGTGCGGAGCCGGTCAACGAGTGCACACAACAACACAGGCCTAGCACAGCCGGCTTCAGACTGGGCACAAGCAGCTGTGGTGGTGAAGGAGAGCATGTGCCCACGAGCAGCTCTGAAGGGAGAGGCGTGGCTCTGGCTGAGAGCTGGGCTAACCGTGCATCACAAGACTGCAGACGGGGTAGCCATGGGGTCCCCTGCCCAGGCAGAGTTATAGATGCCCCGACGTGCCTCGGGGCTCCTTTGGTGCGTAAGGCCTAAACCCTGATGCCCGCAGCTAGCACCCAACCCCCACTCGGCAGACCCATACCTGCGGCTCAGGCAACGGGGAGCCGGCCCACAGGCTGCACAGTGCACAGGCCACGGCGGTCGGCGTGGCCTTGGGAGGCCCTGAACTGCCTCCCAGGACCCTGGGCATCGCAGGCAGCCCACAACAGGGCGACACGCCTTTGGCCCAGACTGACCTGCAGGCAGCGGCCAGCACCAAGCGCACAGCCTGGGCCCCCTCCCCACGGGACCAGGCATGACCCCGAAAGGCGAACCTTTTGGGCCTCTCATTGAGGCTGGTGCTCCGTGCTCTGAAGCTGTCCTTTTCAGGCGTGTCATCAAAAGACAAGAGGACGTTGGAGCGCAGGCCCTGGAGCAGGGAGGACGGGCCGTGAGGGGCTGTGGGGGCGGGGATAAGCTGCAGCCCAGTGCAAGGCGGCAGCGCCCACCTGTGCCCACCCCAGGCTGAGCCCAGTGGGAACTCGGCACTTTCAACGCGGCTCGAAGCGGCAGCCCTCCCCTCTCGCCTACTTGTCCCTACACGGAGAAGCAGGTCCCGGCCCGAGACACACAGGCGGCCCCGGCTAACCTTAGCGATGTTTGTTTTTTTGGGTCCGGTCGTGGTGCCTGAGCTCTGGGCCTGGGCGCTGTCCCTCAGCTCTTCAGCTCAAGGCTAGCGCTCTACCACTTGAGCCACAGTGCCACTTCTGGCTTTTTTCTTTTTGCTTATGTGGTGCTGAGGAATCGAACCCAGGGCCTCTGGCATGCAAGGCAAGCGCTCTACCACTGAGCCACCTTCCCAGCCCCTAACCTTAGTGATGTAGGGAACAAAATCCTTCCGGAAGGGCAGGCGGCACCTGATGAACCACATGGCTATGACGTGATGCGCCAGGCACACAATGTACTGGTTGAACCTGAGACAAGGAGAAACAGCAAGGACTGGGTTCCCTCCTAGCACACGCCAGTGCTCCCGACAGGCCGCACAAAGCAGAGCTGCCAGGGCCTTGGCTGAGTCTCAGTGGCAGTGGCAGGGATGGCTTTCAGTGTGGAGGCCCGGGCAGGGCAGCAGCTGGGAGGGCGGGGCCGCAGCTGGGAGGGAGGGGGGCCTGGGCGGGGCCGCAGCTGGGAGGGCGGGGCTGCAGCTGGGAGGGCGGGGCTACAGCTGGGAGGGCAGGGCCACAGCTGGGAGGGCGGGGCCTGGGCGGGGCCGCAGCTGGGAGGGCGGGGCTACAGCTGGGAGGGCGGGGCTACAGCTGGGAGGGCGGGGCTACAGCTGGGAGGGCGGGGCTACAGCTGGGAGGGCGGGGCTACAGCTGGGAGGGAGGGGCTACAGCTGGGAGGGAGGGCTACAGCTGGGAGGGCGGGCTACAGCTGGGAGGGAGGGGGCCTGGGCGGGGCCACAGCTGGGAGGGAGGGGGGCCTGGGCGGGGCCTGGACAGCCATACTCACTTGGAGGGGTTGGTGTAAGGCAGCGAGATGGCAAATACGCTGGCATACTGCTCTGCAGCAAAATTTCTATACAGGTGAGGAAGCCTGGCCAGAGCTGTGAGCAAGGACAGCTGTGAGGCAGCTGGGCAGCCTGCAGACAGGCCGGTGGGGTGGGCCTGTCCCCAGGGTCCTGCACCTCAGTTCTAAAAGCCAAAGCTGCTGTTGTGGAAGACTTGGAAGGTCTCAGCCTCCACCCCAACGGTTCCCTGGCTCATACGTGTATAATCTATGAACCGTAAGCAGCTTTTACTTTTTAAATTTTGTTGATACTGAAGATTGAATGCAGGGTCTCATGCTCGCAAAGCAGGTGCTCTGCCACGCGAACCATGCCTACAGCCTCTTTTGCCCTGTGTATGTGTGTAACAAAGTGTTTAGGCAGCTAACACGAGGTGCCAAAGCCCCGAGGCAGTACAGGCTCCAGGACCAGGTTCCCCAGGGAGTCCAGCCTGTGCACACCCAGGAGGGTAGAAAAACCATCAGCACAGCTGCCCGGAACACCAAGCTGAGAATCGGGTGCACCCCCAGGGGAGCCACACACTCACTGGACAGGAACTCCAGGAGCGGGATGGCCATGCTGGCCGTGGCGGAGATGTGCGTCAGCTTCACCACCAGGACTGGCAGCGCCTTGATGATGATGTCGGGCATCTCCACACTGCAGATGGCCAGGGCCACCACACACTGGCTGGCACAGCGGTGGATGAGGCCTTGCTCCAGGCAGTAGACCATCTCACGCTGCAGGGAGTAAAACACGTCAGACCACCTGGGGGGGGGCTGCCCTTCCCGCAGGCCTCATACCTCGCAGATCCACTCTGAAGTGCTGAGGGGGAGGGTGGGGGGAGGACGTAGGATGGTTCCTAAATGCTTACATGACCCTGAGTGGTGGGTAGCTCTAGGTCAGGTGTTAGGTGCTTCCGTTTCACTAACAGCCCTGGGCTTCCCAGCTCTGGGTTCACAGACCCCCTGGTTCTGGGCTAGCCTTGTAAGGAGAGGAACCACTGACAGGTTGAGACCACTGTCCCAACCCCACCCCGGGCAGTGTCCTCAGTAATGAAAACAGACATGAAATGGAAGCTCAGGCCACAGACCAGGGCCTCAATAGTTCTGGGAATAGTTCTCTTGTCCTGACTCAGAAACGCTCTGGGCTTGGCCAGCACACACAGCCAGCGGGGTGGGCTTCAGCATCTGATGGTGCTACTGTGTAGAGCCCGGGCCCAGGAGAGGGAGCCAAGCCCCTTGAGGCAGGACATGAGGAGCACCAGACCTCGCTGAGACCTCCACCTCCCCTGCTGCAAGCTGAGAATGGGAGTGACCGGGTGGGGGGTGGAGATGGGGACCCCCGCCCCAGCCCACTCCTCCCAACCGTCCTGGCTGCGCGTGTCACTGTGCACACCTGCAATCCTAGCAGTGAGGCTAAGATCTGGGAACTGCCGTTCAGAGCCAGCCTAGATAAACCCAGGAAACTGTTACCTCCAAGTAGCCAGAAAAAAGCTGGAGGTGGAGCTGTGGCTCAAATAGTAGCACCAGACAAATAAGAACACCAGGGTCCTGAATTCAAGTCCCAGTACTGACACCAAAAGAATTTAAAGAAAAAAAAAAAACCAAAAGCAAAAAAACCCGGCGTGGCTACCTGCCCTACAGCCGTAACAGGCACAGGCTGGGAGTGAGGAGTACTAGAGAGGAGGGGAGGATGGCTCCGGAAAGAACCGGACGTGAGAGGATTCGCACCTGCGGCCCCAGCGGCCATCAGGAGCCCCAGGGCGACAGCCAGCTCAGCCTCTTGCTCTAGCCAGCCACTGGAGGAGGTGGCGTACCCTCTGGTTTAAGAGCCAGCACAAGAGGTCCTCACCCTCTCCCACATCCCACCTGTTTGGTTTTGTCCAGGTAGTTGTGGTAAGAGATTAATGCCGTAAGCACTGGTACCACGGCCAGGTGCAGGTCGGTTCTGGAGAAGCCTTCTGGAGTGCCTCGGAGCCGCTCAAGTGTCTTTGGACCTGAAAGCTAATGACCAAAAGACCCCGTGAAGCCCCGGCTGGCGGCCAGCGTGCTGGGGAGGGACAGGGTAGAGGCAAAAGGCAGGAAGAGCCGGTACCAGCTCTGCAGGGGTGCCTTCCAGAAGGTGAGAGAGCACCACCTCCCTCGATACCCACAGCAAGGGGCAGGGGTGTGGGTGCGGATCACAGGGGCCCTAGCCAGGAAAAGGGGAACCCGGTGCTGGGTAAGCTGGGGGCATGCTGGCGTGGGCCCGAGCATCCACGCCTCCACCCCACAGCTGTCCGTGCTCCCGACAGAAGCCCCGACCTGCCCTGACAGAGACGGTCTCCACACTCCTGCCTGGGGTTCTCTGGCTTCTGAAGCAGAGCCTGGACTGCGGCCCTGACCCCCACTCCCCCACCGGCCTCCTTGATAGGCAGCCTGGCCAGGGCTGGGCGGGGGGGGGGGGCTGGCAGACGGGGGAGAGGGTGGGGACGGGACTACCATGGCACAGAGGGCGGAGGACAGCAGGTCGACGCTGCAGCGGGAGGTGAGAACAAGGACTTTGTAGCGCAGAGATTCGGGCAGCTTGCTCAGGACCAGCTTCAAGACCTTCCAGTCGGTCTCCTGGAGGGAGAGGGCGGTCAGACACGAGGCAGGGCGACAGTGGCACAGCTCCGGGACGTGATGAACCGTGGCCTGTCACCACAAGCCACTGTGTGAACGAAGCCTGGCCAGCAGCCAGCACGCCAGCAGCCGGCTGAGAGCAGCTCAGGACGCCACATGCCTGGTCCTGTCCTCTCCTCAAATGCTGGGTTGTGGCCCAGCCACAGCCTACAGAGGGGGGAAGGGAAGGAGAGCCGACGGCAAGGGGGGTGAGCCTGACACAGCCTGAGCACCCGCAGAACATCTGCAACAATGAAGACGGCAAAACACAAAAGAAGGAAAGCTATAACCAGAGCTGATGAGGAAGAGCAGCAAGACAACTATCACAGCCACAGAGCCACTACAGCCCAGGACACAGCCGCAGGGAGCACCTCACCACAGCCCAGGGAGCACCTCACCACAGCCCAGGGAGCACCTCACTACAGCCCAGGACACAGCCGCAGGGAGCACCTCACTACAGCCCAGGACACAGCCGCAGGGAGCACCTCACTACAGCCCAGGACACAGTGCAGGGAGCACCTCACCACAGCCCAGGACACAGTGCAGGGAGCACCTCACCACAGCCCAGGACACAGTGCAGGGAGCACCTCACCACAGCCCAGGACACAGTGCAGGGAGCACCTCACCACAGCCCAGGACACAGTGCAGGGAGCACCTCACTACAGCCCAGGACACAGCCGCAGGGAGCACCTCACTACAGCCCAGGACACAGTGCAGGGAGCACCTCACCACAGCCCAGGACACCGTGCAGGGAGCACCTCTCCACAGCCCAGGACACCGTGCAGGGAGCACCTCACCACAGCCCAGGACACAGTGCAGGGAGCACCTCACCACAGCCCAGGACACCGTGCAGGGAGCACCTCACCACAGCCCAGGACACCGTGCAGGGAGCACCTCACTACAGCCCAGGACACAGTGCAGGGAGCACCTCACTACAGCCCAGGACACAGCCGCAGGGAGCACCTCACTACAGCCCAGGACACAGCCCAGGGAGCACCTCACCACAGCCCAGGACACCGTGCAGGGAGCACTTCAGCCCTGCACTCTGGGAAATCTGGCAGCCTTGCAGCACGGATGCCTGGCACGGTTCAGGATCCAGTTCCCCCTTCCCGCTACCCTCCCCGCAGCTGCTCACCTGCCCTCACCAGCCCTGGCCCCTGACTCAGCCAGTATGTCCACATCAGCATGGAACATACAAGCTCTGCTCACTCCACCTTCCAGCTGGCCTGGGAGGCGGCCCTCAGCAAAGAACTGCATCCCTTTGGTGTGTGCCCTCCCTGGGAGGCAGTGCTGATGGACAGCAACCGCTATTACACACGCGGGTCCCGCTGCACACTGGAGGCGCACTGCGCCCGCCGACTACTCTGAGGGAGAACTAGGCTGGTCCTCAGACCGTCCTTGGGGCAGCACCGTCTGACCTCACGGAGAAGACCCGACTCACCTGCTTCAGACACTGAAGCAGGACACGGAAAAGCAGGGAGTAGGGCAGGTGGCCGAGTCTCACGGCAGGGCCCACAGGCGCGGGGCTGGGAGGCCCAGTGGGAGGGGAAAGGGGGCTGCTGGCCTTCTTCTCTGCGCCGCGCTCAGGCTCCCTGTGAAACCCAAGTGGGACAGGCGTTAGACATTCCCTCCAGTGCTGGCCTGTCACCGGGAGCCCTTCAGGGACAGAGCTGTACACGCGCCACCCTGATGTGGGGTGGTGGCACGCAGGCTGGACGTGGTGAGGCTGACCCCCGCCCGCGGCTCCTACGCACGCGCAGTCACAGAGGCAGTAGGGGCTGAACCTCACGACGCCATCCTTGGTAGGCAGGCCCAGGCGGTGCAGCGAGTCGGCCCGCAGCAGCAGCAGGAAGTCGAAGGCCTGCAGAGGAGTGAATGGTGCTATCTAATGAGGCAGGGCCCAGGCACGGCCGATGGCAAACTCCTCATGGTTCAGATGGGCGCGTCCCAGGGACACGGAGGCCGGTGTCCTGCACAGGGCCCAGACCTCCCCACAGCCGCTGAGCCCCACGCACAGTTCAGCCTCGTCACCTCCTCTGGGAGCGAACTGTGCTGGGCACCCCAACCAACGGGTCCAACCAAGGCAGGCGCTCCAACTGGGTCAGGGTTTCTTCCCAGGGAGCTCCAGACAGCCCGGCATTACTTCCCATCCTGCCTGGCCCAGTCCAGACTTCCCAGCCATCTTCAACCCAGCCGTGCTCCGCTCACCAAGCCCTGCCCTACCAGCCTTCCCAGGCCGGCCCAGCCCTCTGCTGCAGCTCACTGGCTGATAATTCGGCACCAAGAACATGAGGGCCACACACCCCTCTGTGGGTCAGTGTGACTTAGGGTGACAAGCCACAGTGGGTGCCAAGCAAGAAGAGCCTGCAGAGGACGCCCCCCTGGACCACATAACCTCTCTAGCCTGTGGACAGCAGGCTAGAGCCTGGCCAGGCCCCAGGGACATGACCGTGTGGCAGAGCACACTGTACCTGCAGGCGGATGCTGCCGGCGATGGGCAGCGAGTAGCTGTGCTTGTAGTGCAGATGAATGTGGTTGACCAGAGTCTCGTACACACGCGTGGCATGGCTGGCAGGCAGGGTGTACAGCTTCGTCTGTGGAGAGAGGGTAGCAATCCTTCTGAGGGCAACGCCGCCGAGGAGGAGGCAATGCTGTGTGGAGGAGAGGAAGCAGGAGCACCTCTACATGAAGTTATGCAGAAGCACTCTGTCGTACCGTCATTCATTCATATCCCCTAGCCACCAAGGGCACCCTAAAGGGCCACTTTTTCAAGACCTTGTCTTTTTTTTTTGGGGGGGGGGGTCCAGTCGTGGGGCCTGAACTCTGGGCCTGGGCACTGTCCCTCAGCTCTTCAGCTCAAGGCTAGCGCTCTACCACTTGAGCCACAGCGCCACTTCCGGCTTTTTTCTTTTTGCTTATGTGCTGCTGAGGAATCGAACCCAGGGCCTCATGCATGCAAGGCAAGCGCTCTACCACTGAGCCACCTTCCCAGCCCCAAGACCTTGTCTTTTTTTTCATATTCTCATGCTTTTTAAAAAATATGTACCTTATTGTTATTATAGAGATGCTGTACAGAGGGATTACAATTACATGAGTCAGGTAATGAATATATTTCCTTTTATATCGTGTCTTCTGTCCCCTCTCTCTCCCCGCCCTCCCTCCTGTCTCCAGCCATGAGTTCCATGAGTTGTATAGTTCACTTTCATCAGTGTCCAGCCTTATTTAAAAGAAAAAAAAGAGGCTGGGAAGGTGGCTCAGTGGTAGAGCGCTTGCCTTGCATGCCTGAGGCCCTGGGTTCGATTCCTCAGCACCACATAAGCAAAAAAAGAAAAAAGCTGGAAGTGGCGCTGTGGCTCAAGTGGTAGAGCGCTAGCCTTGAGCTGAAGAGCTGGGGGACAGCGCCCAGGCCCAGAGTACAGGCCCCATGACCAGACCCAAAAAATAAAAAATAAATAAATAAATAAATGAACTATGGGCTGGCAATGTGGTCTACTGGTAGAGTGCTTGCCTAGCATGCATGAAGACCTGGGTTCAATTCCTCAGTACCACATACACAGAAAAAGCCGGAAGTGGCACCGTGGCTCAAGTGGTAGAGTGTTAGCCTTGAGCAAAAGAGCAGGTGTAGTGCCCAAGCCAAGTTCAAAGCCCAGGACTTGCCCAAAAAAAGCTATAGGGAATCCTGGGCCTTTCCCTCCTCCCTCAGCTGTAGAGACAGAGCAAGGGGCGGGCGAGGCTAGCGTGATGTGATTTGTCAGGACACAGAGCAGGCCGCCTGGAGCACAGACAACAGCGACTTCCCACAGTGCCCTGACCTCACCCTGCTGCCGGTCAGGACCGCTGGGAGAGCCCCCGTTTCCCTGGAGGACAGCGGCCAGCCTGAGCAGACGAGCGGACGCTAGCGCCTGCGGGCAGGGGCCACCGGCAGAGCCCTTACCTGAAGAATAACCAGGAGCCCCAGCACTGCGGTCTTCACGTCCTCCAGGGAGGCCGAATAGGCGGCCACATCCCTTTCCTCTACCTCAGGGGGAAGCGAGAGCGAGCGGGCCATCACCTTGAAAGAGATCAGCCTGTAAGTCCTGGCTCGTGGCTCCCTGCAGCTCTAACACTTCCTTACCAGTACCTTCCCTCTCACTTCTCAGGAGAAAAAATACACTTCACAGAGAGACCATTTAGAAATCACATGAGCTGTAGCCCTGGCCCCGCTTCTTAGCTCTGTGTGGTCTTCAGGTGCATAGCTCAGCTTTTAGGGAGCCATATGAGACCCATTTCCAAAGGCCTGTGATGGACGCTGTCCAAGCAGCAGGCAGCCTGACCCTGTCTCCCGTCACCACCCATCCCCGCTGGGGGGAAGACCGCGTCCGTCAGCTTGCTGAGCACTACTAGAGAGGGCATCTCTGCCCACAGGACACTGTTGCCTCCAACCCCGTGGCTCTTACTTTCTCAATGATGTCCAACAGACTGTTGAAGTGGTGGGAATGACAGCCTTCCGCCAGGTCCACCAGCAGCTGCGTGGCAAGTTTTCGGACTTGGTGGTCTTTGTCGTCAGGGACGTGGGAGAGCTGTGGGATGACTACCGAGCTGATGAGCTCCTCCTGCACCGGGCACAGCAGAGGGGGTAGCAAGGGGTGAACAGAGGCGCAAAGCCAGCTGAAAGCCTGTCACAGGAGGAGTGCTAGCAGGACCAAGTCCCGGCAGACCCCAGATTCTGCCAGAGCACGTGCAGAGGCCCGGCGGCTGCACAGCCCGGAACCCCTGGAGCCCTGAGGCCAAGCCTAGACACAAACCTCATAGAACTGTCTGTTGATGAGCAGCACGAAGGACAGCACGTCCAGCACCTTGATGCGCACAGCACTGCGGGACTCGTTCCTGCGGAGAAGCAAGCCTGCTGGGGTGGGCCAGGAGCACCTGTACCCCCGTGCCCAAACACAAGGCCCAGGTCTGGGTGGAGGCAAGCGGGCCTAACCCTGTGCTTTCTCCCCTGGGCCCAGACTCGCTGACACCCAAACAGAAGCTCGGTAAAGAGACAGAAAACTCTGCCTTCCGAGAGGCCATCTTTCTAGACCATTACTCCAGAACAGCCTTCCTTCAACTACAATTCTTTTTCCTTTTTCTCCTCCAGAATCAGGAAGGACAGACTGGGCGCCGGTGGCTCACATCTGTAATTGTAGCTATTTAAGAAGGCTGAGACTGAGGATCACAGTTCAAAGCCAGACTGGGCAGGAAAGTCTACAAAACCCTTACTCCAATAAACCACCAAAAAAAAAAAAAGAACAAAAAAGCCAGAAGTTGAAATGTAGCTCTACTGGTAGAGCACTAGCCTTGAGCAAAAAAGCTCAGACAGTGCCCAGGCTCTGAGTTCAAGCCCTAGGAACACACGCATGCACGCACGCACACACGCACACACACACGCACGCACGCACGCGCTCTGCCTCCCTGGAGTGTGAGGCCCACGCCTGGGACACCCCAGACAGCAGTGCCGCTGGCCGGGAGGCACCGCTGGCCCGGGAGACTCCACTACCTGAAGAAGCGCTCCATCAGCAGCTGCAAGTTCTGGATCCAGCCATCCTTGGCCGGGTGGATGGACTGAGCTCTGTAGGATATTAGGTTTAAGAGGGAGGACTCCTGTCAAAAAGACAAAGCCAGAGTGAGTGAGCCACGTGTCCGGCCCAGCGTCCCAGGGTGCTCACCCCGGGACTGTGCTCTCAGCAAGCCCAGGTGGGGACCTGCAGAGGAAAGGCCTCCTTGCCGTGGGAAGCTCCTCGCAGTGAGTGGACCATTCCTGGCAAAATGACTGCTGCTGCCTAGAACCGCCTACATGGAGCCAGCTGGACCCAGCCTGGAACCTTCCTCCACCCAGGAGGGAGGAGAATGCTGGTCAGGCTAGCACCGAGATCTTCAAAAGACCCCCCCGCCCCCCACCGCCTTCCCCCCGGCTGACGCCTGTTTTCCTGCTGGAGCACAGATTCAGGAAAGCCAATGCCTGCCCGATCCAGAAAGCACAGCTTCACACCTGCAGCCAGGGACCCACAAGACCTTGCCCACAGCCCTCTGCACCTGAGACCAGTCCCCACCAGGACAGGGGTCCTTACAGGCCTCTGGTCTGCATAGCTTTCCACCAGCTCAAAGTATCTCTCCTGAGATCCGTGGAATTCATTCTGGTCACATAACTCTTCTACAGTGGTCAGCAGGTCATGGACGATGGTCCTGAGCTCTGGGCTGTCCAGGCTCTGGGAAGTAAGAGGCACCACCAAGAACCATCAGCACCCAGGCCACCATGGCAGAGGGGATCGCACAGGGGACCGGCCCACCTGGCGGGAGCTTTGTTCCTGTCACCTCACCTGGAGCTGCTGAAGCAGCCGTTCGATGATGTTCAGCAGAATGTCCCACGTCACAGCTTGGAGCTCTTTCCTATACTTCTTGATGAGTCTGGTGATGGACAGCACAATCTCATAGGACACCACCTCATTAGGGCAAGTCATGGCCTGGAACACAGGACACAGGGAGCAAATAGTCAGCCACTTCTCCCTTGTGCAGAGCAAGCCCCCTCCATGTCATCGGAGAGCTGGGTATGAAACACCTGGGTCACAGCGCTTGCCAGACATGATTGTGGCCCATAAGTACGTGAAGAATCCACAGCGGGGGCTTCTACATTGCTCTACTAGACAGGGCCCAGAACCCCACCTCTAGAAGGCCTAACCTGGACAGACCAGTAAGTTCACATTTGTGCCAGGCATGCAGCACAGCAGAGACTGTGAAAGCAATGTGCAAAGACAAACCCACCCCTACAGAGGAGGGGCTCAGCAGGAGCCCCTAAGTATCAGAGGGGGTGTAACTTGTCTAGGTCTGTGCTCTGCGACGTGAGGACCACGGTGGGATGGCCATGACTCCCCTGGGAACTGCGACCACTCATACAGGCATACCAAGGGAGACTCTGGATCCCTGAAGGCACCAAGAACAGAAGCTCTGTCTCAGCATCATCCAAGGACAGCAGAGCAAGACTGCCTCCTGACAAGCCAGAGTCAGCACCCGAAAGAGGATCCCTGTACCATCGGCAACGGTGAGCAGCCTCATTGCCAACTGCAGCAGGTGCAACTCAGAAAATATGACATGTGCTTGAAAAACAAACCTTCAAACAGAGCCATACCTCACCCCCAGTAAAAACCACACACTCTCTCTCTGTTGGAAATGCCTGGAAGCCCGCCCCAGGAGCCCTGGCCTGCCTGGAGGGTGGGGAGCCCTCAAGTGAGGGCTTCTGAGTTTGACAGCTCACTGCAGCACACAAGTCCCATACCTCGAAAAAAGATGGCAACACAGAGGTCGGGGAGTTCTTGAGAGAACAGAGTCGGTGCGCTCCCCACAGCGCCATGCCCACAAAGAACACCGCACCCCTCAGGAGCGGGGCGTCGTCCATGTAGGATCTGCAAGTGGGCACCAGAGAGACAGACGTGAGCCCATCCCGGAGCACCAGAGAGACAGACGTGAGCCCATCCCGGAGCACCAGAGAAACAGACGTGAGCCCATCCCGGAGCACCAGAGAGACAGACGTGAGCCCCATCCCAGAGCACCAGAGAGACAGACATGAGCCCATCCCGGAGCACCAGAGGACAGCCTGGGCCCATCCCGGAGCACCAGAGAGACAGACGTGAGCCCATCCCGGAGCACCAGAGGACAGCCTGGGCCCATCCCGGAGCACCAGAGGACAGACATGAGCCCCATCCCGGAGCACCAGAGGACAGCCTGGGCCCATCCAGGAGCACCAGAGAGACAGACATGAGCCCATCCCGGAGCACCAGAGAGACAGACATGAGCCCATCCCGGAGCACCAGAGAGACAGACGTGAGCCCATCCCAGAACACCAGAGGACAGACATGAGCCCATCCCAGAGCACCAGAGGACAGACATGAGCCCCATCCCAGAGCACCAGAGGACAGCCTGGGCCCATCCCGGAGCACCAGAGGACAGTCTGGGCCCTGGCGGTGCCCAGCAGTCCTACCACGTATGCAGAAGTGTCACCGGGACAGGAAGAGAACAGTCCGGCAGCAACTGTGACTACTGATTAACTTGTCTCTGGACTGGGGCATGACTCAAGTGCTAGAAAACCTACCCAGCAAGCTTGAGGCCCTGAGTTCAAACCCCAAACCCTCAAAGAGAAGGGGGAAGAGGAAAAAAGAGAAACAACCACTGCCACCCAGGCTATGTGCCCTGGGTGACACTAGATACAGGAACACTAGTAGAGAGAAGGCCCAAGCCTCCTGGAAGATACAGAGGCCAAAGAATCACTCAAGGGCAAAGTCCCCACCTGAAGCTGTGGGGAAGCTAAGAAGCTGTGGGCCCAAGAGTGAAAGGGCTGCAGGAGGCCAGGGCACTGAGGACCACATCCCGACCTCCAGAGCACTCAACAGGGAAGAACAGGAAGACAGCAAGAACATTCTAGCAGGAGGAGCCGGTGTATGCAAAGGCCCTAGAGGGGAGGGGAGGAACAGCAAGAGGAAGAGACCAGAGGCCTAAGGAGCTGGGGGTGGGGCACTGGCCCCCCACTATGTTTGCAGGCAAAGAGTGGGAGGAGAAAGGGGTCACTGGGCTGCTGGGTGGATAATACACTTCGCGAGGCTACAGACAACAGGGGGCAGGGAGAAGGTGCGCCCCCTGGTGTGTCCACCATGCAGCACACCTCCCAGGACCAGCTCTGGATGGCTGGCTACAGGGCACGGGCAAGGACAAGGGGAGAGGTTGGGCTGACACCCCAACCTAGCCTCATATCAGGGTGACGAGTGAGGGCACCATCCCAAGACACCAGGCAGGGGAAGAGGCTCTGACTGGCAGAGGGAAGGGTGGGAGATCACAGGTATCATGGGCCTGGCTCCGGTGAAGCAGCCCCCCGGAAGGAAGGCAAAGTCCCAACACCATCCATGCTGGACAAATGCCACCACGCGCACACCTGTTCCCAGGAGGACGCAGGAGGCCCCACCTGCCCCGCCCGGGGCCCTGCCTGCCCACACACCTGTCCTCCATGATGCGGCACATGTTGTAGATGGCGCTGTGGCCCAGGTGGGTGCCCAGAAGATTGCGCATCAGCTGAGGAACAGAACGCATCAAGGGACTGGTGGCTTGGAGGCCCCGCTCGAGGGAGGGAGCTCTGTGCAGCCCCCTTCCCACACAGAGGCACAGAGCTCTCCCCACCCCTCCCAAGCCTGTGCAGCCGCACTGCCTGGGCCTGGCTTCCCAAACTCCCCTCGAGACCCGACCCCACCTCCAGACCTGGGAAAGGGGTCCAGCCCTGCACTAGACCCTCCAGAGCCCCACCTTCCAACAGGGCTCGCAGAGCTCCTTGACGTTGATGGTGCGGCAGAGGGTGACGATAAACAGAGGGAGGCTCTCGGCCGGCAGGCAGTTGTAGCAGACCACAGCATCCAGCACCTGTAGGGAGACCTACAGGAGGAGCAGAGCATCACATCCGTGCCGCTGCCACCCACCCAGAGAGCCAGAGGGCTCCCAGTGACCCCCCATGCCCCCGCACTGCAAGGCACCAGCTCTGCTTGTGGCAACTGTCCTGACAGCTGACAGAGGCCAAGTGGCTGCCAGGAGAAACACAGCCAATGTGGCACGTAGGACTTGAACCCAGAGCCCCAAACCCCCCAAGAAACAAGGGTACAATTAACTATCTCCTAAGAGGAAAGTCACTGACCTCTATATCCACAGAGGACACAGTTCGGATGCACAGCAGACAGATCATACTAGGGAATAAAACACCTAAGTTAACTCGGAAAACGTTTCCAGAAGGCCGAGCCAACCACACTTCCTTCACTCCCTCTGTGAGGTCGGTCAGGTGAGTGGCTCTCCTCCCTTAGGGTGCCCGCTCTGGGCTGAGTGTCCCACAGAGATGAGGCAGTAAAAACCCCACTCTCAGGGACACCAGGGCACCTTATTGTTGTTGCTGTTGATCCCGGGGCTTGAACTCGGGAGCTGGGTGCTGTCCCTGAGCTTCCTTCACTCAAGGCTAGTGCTCAACCACTCGGGACGCAGCTCCACTTCTGGCTTTTTTAAGTAGTTTACTGGAGCTAACAGTCTCATAGACTTGCCTGTCCAGGCTGGATTTGAAACAAGACCCTCAGATCTCAGCCTCCTGAATAGCTAGGATTATATGCATACGCCACTAGCACCTAGTTCGCGGGCATTTGTAATAAAAATGACAAAAATACAGTATCTGCAACACCAGATGTAAATTGGAAGGTGGCTCCATCCAATTCCCACCCATTTACTTGGTAGTTTCAGCTATTTTCTCCACCTTGCAGAGATGACTGTAAGACTCAAGGCAGGAGGCTATTAAATAACACTACTTAAGCTCTTTTTACTCTGCTCCAGGGCCTCTTGTACCACGCATGTGCTCTACCACGCAGCTATACCCCCACTCCCCCATTTCAACTCTTTTTTTTTTTTTTATTTGTGAAAATACTGTACAGAGGGGTTACAATTGCATGGGCAGGATAATGCGTACATTTCTTACCAAGCATTGCAGCCTCCTCCTTTGTTTACCCTTCACATCACTTCCCAGCCTCCCCCCCCCCTCAACTCTTTTCTTACTGAACCATTGACGCAATGTACTCGTCCAGGTAACAGCTGTTAAATTTGACCAAGTTCACCAGCACCAGAAGGAATTCCGAAGACAAGCCAACATCCATCCACTGCAGGACAAACTCCGCTGGGGAAGGAGAGGAGGAGAGCAGTTTTCAGAGAAGCTGAGGCTACATCTCCTCTTCGCCTGCTCACTTAGAAAAACATGTCTGTATCCCATTCCCACTGGGAGCCATGCCAGCACTCCCCCGGTGACAGGCTGGCCACAAAGGGCTTAAGCAGGCAGGGCACCAGCACTGGCATCAGCCAGCTCCAGGATGGTCTGAGCCTGAAGCTGGATCAACAATAAAGTATGTATCTCACATTCCGACAAGGACATAATCCTGAGTTGGCACAGGCCCTAGAGGCAGTCCCCGAGTGTCCCCTGTCCCCTCAGAGACAGGCAGAGCTGCAGGCCACAGAACCTGAGAAAACTGAGGGCAAGATCCCTGTCTACCCGCTCTGAAGGCAGGCAGACCAGACCATCAACAGAGCAGCAGAGCCTCGGTCAAGTTTACTCCCTCCTTAGGCCAGCATAGCAAGCACAGGCCTCTGAGTTCAAACCACAGTACTGGGGGCGGGGGTGGGGAGGTGGGGTGGGGGAGAGCTGCTGCTCACAACTGCAATCCTAGCTTCTCAAGAAATTCAGATCTGAGGGGCAGGGAAGGTGGCTCAGTGGTAGAGCGCTTGCCTTGCATGCATGAGGCCCTGGGTTTGATTCTTCAGCACCACATAAGCAAAAAAAGCCTCAAGTGACACTGTGGCTCAAGTGGTAGAGTGCTAGCCTTGAGCTGAAGAGCTCAGGGACAGCGCCCGGGCCCAGAGTTCAGGCCCCACGACTGACCAAAAAAAAAAAAAATTATATATATATATATGGGACAATGCCCAGGCCTTAAGTACAAACTCCAGTATAGTACCAAAAAAGGGTATTTCTAGATGCATACATTGCAACTATTTATAAAAATAGCATGAAGAGGGGGCTGGGAAGGTGGCTCAGTGGTAGAGCGCTTGCCTTGCATACTTGAGGCCCTGGGTTCAATTTCTCAGCACCACATAAGCAAAAAAAAAAAAAAAAAGCCAGAAGTGGCGCTGGGCTCAAGTGGTAGAGCGCTAGCCTTGAGCTGAACAGCTGAGGGAC